CAGCTCAAGGCGAGCGCTCTACCACTTGAGCTACAGCGCCACTTCCGGTTTTCTGGTGGTTTATTGGAGATAGGAGTCTCACGGTCTCTCCTGCCCAGGCTGGCTTTGAACCACGATCCTCAGATTTCAGCCTCCTGAGTAGCTAGGATTACAGGCGTGAGCCACCAGCGCCCGGCTTCAATTCCCTTTTCTACAGGGTATTCTTTATACTGCTCTTGCCTGTGAGGTCATGGGCCAAGTATTCCTCCTTTTTTTTTTTTTGCCAGACTTGGGGCTTGAACTCAGGGTCTGGGTGCTGTCTCTGAGTCTCTTTTGCTCAAGGCTAGCACTCTACTACTTGAGCCACAGCCCCACTTTGGGCTTTTTCTGTTTTTCTGTTTATGTGGTACTGAGGAATTATACCCAGGGCTTCATGGCAAGCACTCTACCAGTAAGCCAAATTCCTAGCCCCCTTTTTTTGTCAGTTTTGGGGGGGTTTTGTTGTTGTTTTGTTTTTTGTTTTTGGTTGTTTCTGTTTTTGTTTTGTCAGTTGTGGGTCTTGAACTTGCAGCCTAGGTGCTGTCCCTGAGCTCTTATTGCTCAAGGGTAGCACACTACCACTTTGAGCCACAGCTCCACTTCCGGTTTTTTAGTGGTCAATTGGTAATAAAAGTCTCACGAACTTTCCTGCCCAGGCTGGCTTTGAATCGTGATTCTCAGATCTCAGCCTCTTGAATAGCTAGGATTACAGGTGTGAGCCACCAGCAGTAGGTTCTGCCGACTTATTATGTTCATAGCTGAGAGCTATTACGTGAACCTGTTTAGCTAGATTCAATCTTGTTCAAGCAACTATACCCTCTCTCTCTGGAAGACACCCCAAAAACACCTTTACTGTGTTCATAAACAAAGGGCTCTGACCCTTTCCGTTTGAATTTAGAAGTCCCAGGATTATTTCAGACACCACTCTGCCCGATCACCTCCATTACTAGTCAGTCCTACTGATGCGTGGGAATGTGTATCGATCACCTGTCTGTTAGCATCAGCTCACATTCAAAAACCCCATTGACGTGAGGCCCACTGCCTCTGCAGGCGCATTCACTTTGTGTATCTTCATTTTCTCTGATGTTGGTGGTGGTGGTAGTGGTCATGGGGCTTGAACTCAGGGCCTGGCTGTATGCCTAGGCTTTTTTGCTCAAGGTTAGTGCTCTGCCACTCTGAACTTACTTCCAGTTTTCTGATAGTTATTTGGAGATAAGAGTCTCTCAGCCTCCTGAGTATCTAGGATTACAGGTGTGAGCCAGCAGCAGCCAGCCCACATAGTGTTTTAAGACTTAATTGTGAGAATATTTGAAACACAGGTAGCTTGGACAAACTGGAGTGTTTGTTGTTGTTGTTGTTCTGGGGGTGTATGTGTATGTGCGCGTGTGTGTGCTGTCCTTTGGCTTTTCGTTTTTCCTCAAGGCTAGCACTCCATTTCTGTCTTTTTCTGTTGTTATTGCTAGTCAAGGTTGTTCAAGGGTAGCACACTACCACTTGAGCCACAGGAGATAAGAGTTTCACAGACTTTCTTGCCCAGGTTGGCTTTGAATCTCGATCCTCAAAGCTCAGCCTCCTGTGTGGCTAGGATTACAGGTGTGAGCCACAGGCACCTGATTTACTTCTGGCTTTTTTTTCTTTTTTCTTTTTTTTTTGGGGGGTGGGGGCTATGAGGTTTGAACTCTGGGCTTGGGCAGTGTCCCTCAGCTCTTCAGCTCAAGGCTAGTGCTCTACCACTGGAGCCACAGTGCCACTTCCAGTTTTCTGGTGGTTTATTGGAGATAAGAGTCTCATAGACTTTACTACTCAGGCTGGCTTTGACTGCCACCCTCAGATCTCAGCCTCCTGAATGGCTAGAATTACAGTCATGAGCCACTAGAGCCCAGCCCCTATGTACCTGGGGCGGGGAGGGGCAGGCGGGGGGCGGGGGGGTAGAAGGAGGGAGGAAAACTTGGCACTAGTCCAGATATTGGCCGGAGCTACATAGAGTCCCCAAACACATTTATCTCACCCTCCTGGCCTTTGTGGGCACATGAGTTTACAGCCCCTATTTATTTGTATTTTGGCAGTACTGGGGTTTAAACTCAGGGCCTTGCCCTTCCTAGGCAAGCACTCTGGCTGAGCTATGCCTCCAGCTCTTTTAGGCACTAGTTGTTTTGTGCTTAGGCCATGCTTCCTGCCTAAGCATATGTCTGGACTCTGATTCACCTATTTCAGGCATCCCCTCATAGCTGGGATGACCAGCATGCCACCACCATTCCAGTGTTTTCCATAGAGATAGTGTTACAGATTTCCCAGGCTGGCCTCAAAGTGTGATCCTTGCAATCTCAGCCTCCCACATGTCTAGACTGAGAGGCACATGTCCCCAGCCCAGTTATGGGTTGAGAAGGGACCCGGGGCACTTTTTTTGCCCAGCTGGCCTCACTCTCCCAAGCAGCTATAATTACAGAAGTAAGCTATAGCCCCTATTTGTAAGTTGTATACGTGTTCAAGAAAGTTTTCATTGTCACCCTGAATGATTTACGTTTTTCTCTGTTTCTGCTTCTTTCTCTTCATGTCCTCCTTTGTTTTCTACTGCCTCTGCCATTCCACAGGTCCTGGGTCTACTGGTATGGACAATGATTGCTGGAACGGAGTACTTCCGGGTCCCTGCGTTTGGCTGGGTCATGTTTGTGGCTGTCTTTTACTGGGTCCTCACTGTCTTCTTCCTCATCATCTACATCACCATGACCTACACCCGGATTCCCCAAGTGCCCTGGACAATGGTGGTAAGGAAGCCCAGGGCTACAGCCCTGCCCTGTGCCCAGGAGCTAGGCCACATGTCCAATTGTCAATTCAAGATCACCACTCAGCCCACACAGGGACCAAATCTGAAGACACTGGTCAGCAAGTAATCTCCATGTTATTCGATGGTCTCTGCAGTGTGTTATGTGAATGTGAAAACAGGCACATTGGAAGAGCTAGAATTCCTTTTAGGCCCAATAGCAAACCAGTTCTCAAGATTCAAGATCATCTGGGTTCTCTATTATATAGACATTGTTAAAATTAATTTTCTGTAAATTGTACCACCTAGAAACAAGTATGTCTGACACCATCCCACACAGGATCCTTCTTTCCTTCAAACTTTTTTTGGGGGGCGGGGGGAGTAACAAGTCTTTGGGCTCAAATTAAGGATCTGGATGCTGGTCATTAGATTTTTCTGGATGCTGGTCATTAGATTTTTCCATTGAAGGCTGGTACTCTGCCACTTGAGCCACACCTCCACTTTTGGCTTTTTTGGTGGTTAATTGGAGATAAGAGTCTCCAAGACTTTCCTGTGTGGGCTGGCTTTGAACCATGATCCTTATATATCAGCCTCCTGAGTAGCGAAGATTATAGGCAGGAGCCACTGAGGCCTGGCTTCAAATCTCGTTTTAACCAATTGTATGCCAAGCTCTTGGGTATTGAGGAATACTATCTGTGAATATAGAGGCTGGAAGATAACAATACTACTTAAACTAATAAGCCAGGTGCTGGAGTGAGGCAGAGAAGAACACTTGTTTACCATGTGTGAGGCTCTGGTCCCTGCTTTTTCCCAACTGTGTACTTGGCCCCACCCTTACCACACCTGGGTGCAGTTCTGGCCACTTGTGAAGTGGCCCTTCCCTCATACTATCTCTCCGCCTTCCCTAGGGCCTGTGCTTTAATGGCAGTGCCTTTGTCCTGTACCTCTCAGCTGCTGTGGTGGACGCATCTTCTGTCTCCCCAGAGAAGGACAGTCACAACTTCAACAGCTGGGCAGCCTCCTCTGTGAGTGAGCTCTCTACCCATCCCCCTCAGTCTTCCATCTCCTTCCTCATGGCCTTCTAGGCATCAGGGAGAGGGTCAAGTTACCTGTAGGACACAGTGCCACTTGCAGTAGTGCCAGTGGGCAATTAGCTGATTAATTGGAAAAGATAAAAAATTGTTGGGACCTCTTGGTGGTCTGCCAGGATCACAAGGCTGAAAGCCAAGCTGGCAAGTGAGAGCCAAATGCCAGATCAAGGAATGGAAGGGGAAGAGCTGTTGGGAGTTGCAAAGTGTGGGAGCTCACAAGAAGTGAGCGTAATTATAGCTGTGAGCCATCAGCACCTGGCGGTATACTGTTTTTTAAACCATAACTATGTATAATGTCTCCAATTTAAAGAACTAGTTTTAGCAGGGCACCAGGGGCTCATGTCTTGGCTAATCAGGAGGCTGAGACATGAAGATGGCGGCCAGCCTGGGTAGGAAAGTCAATGAGACTCTTATCTCCAATAAACCACTAGAAAACCGGAAGTGGCGCTGTGGCTTAAGCGGTAGTGCACTAGCCTTAAGCTGAAGAGCTCAGGAACAGCGCCCAAACCCAAAGTTCAAGCCCCAAGACCGACAAAAAAAAAAAAAAAAAAAAATCTCTTGGACTTTTTTCTGCTCGGGCTGGCTTCAAACCGATATCCTCAGATCTCAGCCACCTGAGTGGCTAGGATTGCAGGTGTGAACACGAGCATCTGGCTGGTCTGCTCATTTCTAGAGCTGACTGTAACTCTCTGAATTTGGACCCTAGTCTGCAACTGTCTGAACTAAATTAGAAGTGCTATTCTTTTTCTCAGATGCACAGCCACCACAGTCCCTGTGTGTGTGTGTGTGTGTGTGTGTGTGTGTGTGTGTGTGTGTGTGTGTGTGTGCGTGCGTGTATGCATGCGCACATACAATAGTTTTGAGGTTTGAACTCGGTCTGGGCACTGTCCCTTAGTTTTTATGCTCAAAGCTGGTATTCTACCACTTGAGCCATACCTTTACTTTTGGTCTTTTGCTGGTTAATTGGAGATTAAATCTCATGGACTTTCCTGCTTGAGCTGGTTTCAAACCTTGATCCACGATCTCAGCCTCTTGAGTAGCTAGGATTACAGGTGTGAACCACCGCACCTGGATTCACATTCACTTCTCCAAGGTTATTTGAGTAAAATTCCATTTCAGATTCATTTTAAAAGTAAATAAATAAAAATTTGAGAAAGTCAGAAATCATTTGAAAAGGAAGATAATAAAGTAATTTTATCTGAGAAATTTGGCATGTTGTAAATGGGTGATGTAGTGGAGGTCAAATGAAACTCATTCTAATCAGAATGTGCTCTGATTCCGTTTCTGTTATGCTTTGTTTTCTCTAGTTCTTTGCCTTCCTGGTTACCATCTGCTATGCCGGAAACACCTATTTCAGTTTTATAGCATGGAGATCCAGAACTGTTCAGTGATTTACCATTTTGATAATTAAAAGGGGGGGGAAGCCCAGAAGAATTTCACTGTAAAAACAGCTGTAGGTATAATGTATATTTCCACAAAATTGTATTTAACTAATGTTTTTATATACTTAGTTAAATCTGCTGGCAGTGGTTTGTTACAATTAAACTGGATACTTATTTGCAAAGTGCTGTAGCTTATAATGAACTCTTAAGTATTTTGTTGGTGTCTTCATAAATAATACAAAAATAAAATTGCTAATACTAAGAGTGTGTCAGGGACTAAGTGTTGATATCTCATGGCTATAATCCTCCTAACTCAGGAGACTGAGATCTGAGGATCAAGGTTCAAAGCCAGCCCAGACAGACAAGTTTGTGAGAGCTGTGGTTCAAGTAGTAGAGCCACCAATTAAATGAGGGCATGAAGTCTGGAGTTCAAGCCCCACTACCGGTATATCCACCCACACCCCCCAAAAAAAGGTGTCAAATTTATAAACCTGACTTTTAAAATTACAGATTCTTTTGTGATTAAATGTGGGAAAACCTCAACTAAGGTTGTGTCTACTTGAAAAAGGAGACAGAAACAGGAGCTGAGGCCAGGTGCCATGGGAAAACTCCAACCCTCACAGCATGCCCAGGGGTGCTCTTGTCCAGGGACACTTGTCCACAGTCACCAGGGCAGGGTGGCAGGAGAGACTGATCTCCTCAGCTCTGGGGATCTCAGTGCCCATGACTCACATCCCTGCAAGTGATCCAGAAAGCATGCAATGAGACTTTGCCTTCTGCTTAATGGGGTTCAAATACAAGTTAAAATGAGTATACAGCCATAAAAAGGTTAAATGTGTTCATCTGCCTTGAAATTATCTTGCTGACCCTAGAGATGATACATATGTACCATTTTTTATGGACACTTCTGGACCAAAAAGTTCCAACATCTCAAATCTTTAGCATAAATATACTGTAAGGTTGTTACTGAATAGTGGGGAGAAGGCAAAACAGGCAGGCAGGTGTGCACTTACAGGACGTGATTTTAGGCCAAAGGTTCTTGCTGGCATAGCAGGTATCTTGGGTGATTTTCAACATGAACCTTTTGTGTGTGGGGGGGGGGATATTTTTTTGGTTTGGGTTTTGCTTTATTCTTGGGCTGGTCTAGCCTATGATCCTCTTGTTTGCCCTTTG